TAAAGTGTGTTGTACCGTTCCCCTCTCTGTACATAGAATTAAAGTGTGTTGTACCGTTCCCCTCACTGTATGTACATAGAATTAAAGTGTGGTGTACCGTTCCCCTCTCTGTACATAGAATTAAAGTGTGTTGTACCGTTCCCCTCACTGTATGTACATAGAATTAAAGTGTGGTGTACCGTTCCCCTCTCTGTACATAGAATTAAAGTGTGTTGTACCGTTCCACTCACTGTACAATGTACATAGAACTAAAGTGTATTCTACCGTTCTCTTCACCCCTCACTGTACATAGAATTAAAGTTGGTTGTACAGTTCCCCTGTCTATACATAGAATTTCAATTTATTGTATTGTTCCCTCCCTGCACATAAAATATAAAATTGTTTAGTACTGTTCCCTTTCCAGTACACAGAATTAAAATGAGTTGTACCGCGTTCCCCTCCCTGTACATAGAATTGGACGTATACAGCATGATTTGCAAAGTAATTATTGCTAATTTGTAATTTTTCGAGAGTCATTTTTGCATTTTGCTATACACACAAAAAAAACTTCATTTTTCCACCACATCTAAGATAAGTTAGATGGGCGCTGAGGCTAGTATATGCAACTGGACTGAGCGCTGCGGCTAGGAGAAGCTAGGGTAGATTTTACATATACTAAGTCAAATGTACAGCATTAAGCAAAAATAACATTTGGCAAAAATGAAAAATATGTAAATGTATGTAGAAAAATATTTATATGTATGTAGAAAAATATGTTTATGTATGTAGAAAAATATGTTTATGTATGTAGAAAAATATGTAAATGTATGTAAAAAATTTGTTTATGTATGTAGAAAAATGTGTGTATGTATGTAGAAAAATATGTAAATGTAGGTAGAAAAATATGTATATGTATGTAGAAAAATATGTATATGTATGTAGAAAAATATGTATATGTATGTAGAAAAAAATTACGGACAAAAAAAATGACAAAAAGCAAAAAGGACAAAAAACAAATCACGTATAGCAAAAGTGAGGTATAACATTTTTTATAAAATGTTTATTATAAAATGTTGATTATAAAATGTTGATTACAAAATGTTGATTGTAAAATGTTAATTATAAAATGTTGATTATAAAAGGTTGGTTATAGAATGTTGATTACAAAATGTTGATTTTAAATGTTAATTATAAAATGTTAATTATAAAATGTTAATTATAAAATGTTGATTATAAAATGTTGATTATAAAATGTTGATTATAAAATGTTGATTNGAATTATAAGAATTTAACACTTTCCAAGCTAGACAACTCTTCCATATTATTGATAAGATAAAGGTTTTAACACTGTATTTGGTTCAAATGAATATTAAATATTTGTTAAATAAAAAATGAGTTTCTTTCTTCAATGTTTTCCTGAAAAATCCCTCTCTCTGATCGCCACTGGAATATCTAAAATTAAAAATTTCCGTCCAAGTATAAAGTTTCATCAAAGGATAAAAGTATCATTAACGGAAAAAATTTATATCAAAGGATAAAAGTTTCATCAAAGGATAAAATGTTCATCGTGTGGTTAAGTAAATTTTTTAATTTCCCGAAAAAGTAGTTGTACAAAATTTTATCTTCTAGCTTTTGAGATGAAAATGCGCGATTTTTTCCCCGAAAACTTCGCAGAGCTGGTGGTTATTTTACATACCTATCCCAAGGAACGTTAAGTAATCTAACCTCCCTCTTTTGGAATGAATCATAAGTAGGTCGATAATGTTGATAAAAAGGCTGTAAAAGTTTAGGATTCGGTTCTCTGAGAGTAAACAAGCTTCAAAAAGTTGCCAAAGAACCGAATGATTGTTCTTGTGAATTCAAGGAATCATAAACGCAATTTCAAGTGTCCCTACATCGATAAAGTGAAATTTCCGATTTACAACGGTTCCCTTGAAAGCTTTGTCTGACCAAGTATGAAATATATATCCATGTTTTTCTTTATCTTCATTTGCTGTTTTTCTAGAAAGTGACGTTTCAACTTATTTCTTGCTTGAGAAACTTTGGAGAAATTGTTAAAATTAAACACTTTTTTCAACCAAGAAAAACAACATTATTTTACAAAAATAGATTGAGGAGTACTGTTGTGAATCGGGCGGGTCACTCTAAACTACATCCATAGTTTCTTTAAAGGGACAGACCGGCTATGTAAGGTATAGTTGAACTGAGTATGCTGTGTTGTGGACAAATTCTTGAAGATTCACTTGAGACATAAAACACTTTTTAAAGATCTGTAAATCCTGAGTTTGAGCGCAAAGTCGACGTTCAAATCGTACTTTTGGGTGGATAGGTTTCAGAATCGGTTTTTTAAATTACTAAATAACGACGACAAAAAATGTAAACAAAATTCTACAGTAAACTTATTGGCAGTAATTAGGAACAGGTTGAGATCTTTAAAAAGTTTATATGTCTCAAATGAATCTTAACCCTATCCCTGCTGGGGTACTGAAAACCAGGATATGCTAAATCCCATGTTTGATGTCCAAATATGACAAATGATACATCATTGGAAAGCTCTTGTGCTCTATTTTAGAATCTGCCAAAAAATTTGCAAATTTGCAAAAATTGAATTTATTATCGCAAAATCCAGTTATATAGTAAAATTGATGGCAAAAAAATAATTTGTCCAAAAATGAAAAATTATACATTTTTGAAAAGCCCTTGACCATGCCATTTCAAATATGCAGCTTTTAAATAACCTGATTTTTAATCAAGAAAAACTAAAAATGTGCAAATTTACTTTGACAGGTTGTTTGTAAAAAATTTGCAATTTTTTTTCTCGCAAAACTTGTGCAATCCGTTTTCTTATGTCATAGGCTTTCCAAAAAGCTAAATTTTACCAAATCTGACAAGTGAAAGTGGGTCAAAACAAAGATTTAGTTTGNACTTTTCATGTTGATAGATATATAGACTTTTCATATTGATAGATATAAAGACTTTTCATATTGATAGATATATAGACTTTTCATGTTGATAGATATATAGACTTTTCATATTGATAGATATATATACTTTTCATATTGATAGATATATTTAGACTTTTCATATTGATAGATATATAAACTTTTCATGTTGATAGATATATAGACTTTTCATATTGATAGATATAAAGACTTTTCATGTTGATAGATATATAGACTTTTCATGTTTATAGATATATAGACTTTTCATATTGATTGATATATAGACTTTTCATATTGATAGATTTATAGACTTTTCATGTTGATAGATATATAAACTTTTCATGTTGATAAATATATAGACTTTTCATGTTGATAGATTTATAGACTTTTCATATTGATAGATATAAAGACTTTTCATGTTGATAGATATATAGACTTTTCATGTTGATAGATATATAGACTTTTCATATTGATAGATATATAGACTTTTCATATTGATAATTATATAGACTTTTCATGTTGATAGATATATAGGACTTTTCAATATATAGACTTTTCATATTGATAGATATATAGACTTTTCATGTTGACTAATAAATGATAATATGATAACAGCTGTCCGTCGGAATCACTCACAATTATTTTTAAAAATTAGAATGTGAAGTACTAACTGAAGTGCAGGGATGTCCAGGTTTACATTATCTTTCACAGTCAAAGTTACTCCCGCCGTTTTTCCGCGATTGGTATTAGAGCCGAATTGCCCGACGATTTCCATGGAATTTCAAAAACTCATTTTTTTAGCCAACAAAGGTGACCATGGTTCCCTTAAACAATTTGTAAATTATTAATATTTTCTTTCTAATACATGCCCCCGGGAACCCATAAGTTTCCTGAAACAATTTTAGCCAATTTGGTGAAGCCCTTTACCCAGCCTTAGAAGATGAATGATAGTAAAAAGAAAAATATATTATTTACCTCAGATTTGAACACCTCAACCTTCTATTGAAAAATAGTAATAATTGATGGTTCCTGAAGGGACAGAGCTGAAAACTTTAGAATGAGATATCCTTAATCCCGATTACTTAATCTGAGTATCCAATGGACTTTTGATTTTCTACTTAAACCGTTCTTTCTTGGATATAGTAGAGAAAAATCAAAAACCGATTTTTTTAATTTAGAGAGTCCCTCCCGTTTCTGTTTATTAATCTTTAATGGCGCGCAAAATTTCAAATTTATCGGCTTCATATACGCGACTCTGATTAGCTAAATTTTATACACTTTTCAGGATACAAGTATAAGATTAGGTTAGTCTCGATATTAAGAGAAAGGAATTGAGTTTTTGCCACACACTTAAATTTTCGAATTCCAATATCTTAGCGATCTGATGTTGTAAACATTTGATATTTCAAACTTAGATCAGTTAAGCTAACAGAATTCATAGTTTGAAATATCTAAGGTCTACGACACTTGGTTGGGAGAATATAAGGATTAGAAAATCAGAGTTTGTTGCAAAGACTCAATTCCTTAATCACAATATCCACCATTCTAAAGTTTTCAGCTCTGAAAGCATATTTTTAAGTGACCCTCCATGCAAGTTTGGCATTGTCTCACAACGATACCCTTAAAAACCTTTATTTTCTTTTAGTTAATGCTTATTTCTTCAATAATAAATAAATATAAATATAAACAATTTATTTGAAATTGGTTGAATTTCTGAGATTTGTATGAAGTCTTCTAAAGCCTACAAAGATGACCAACTCAAGTTGTGGATCAGACATGAAGACTGACTTGAAATTAAATATACAGTCCCTGTAAGCAATAAAGAAAATATTGCTTCATTACTGTTGTAATTTTAAAGTTTGATTTAGATTTTAAAGATTTTTATTTCTGTTTTTCCCTGATTTAGCGCAGTTCGACAAAACAGGAGAAGTACTGAGCAGATACAAAAACTTCTAAACAAAGAAAATATTAAATAAAATAAAACAAAAAATGGTTATGTTTATTAAATTCTTGATTTATGCGTTTGGTCCTTTCGTGCGAAATATTTGTGCAATTTTAAGGAAATATTTGCATTGATGACCTCATGCTTTAGCACGGAGACTACAGATGGATAGATGGATAGTTGGATGGTTGAATGATGGATAGTTGGATGGATAGATGGATAGATGGATAGTTGGATGGTTGCGAAAGTGCCTGATGTCCTCACTGCACTCACTTCAACACACCTAGATAGATAGATAGATAGATAGATAGATAGATAGATAGATAGATAGATAGATAGATAGATAGATAGATAGATAGATGGACAGATAGATAGATAGATAGATAAATAGATAAATAGATAGATAGATAGATAGATAGATAGATAGATAGATAGATAGATAGATAGATTAATGGATGGATGGATGGATGGATAGATATATAGATGTAATACATACAGAGGCCCATAGTAATCTAGATAAAATTACGTTGTACATTGTACACAGATCTAAATGCGCTCATTAGTAAATCATGCAAGTCATGTATAGGGATTAACCCAACTTATATACATATATATACATAACTTTATCAAATCCATATTGTGATTAGCTTAACTACGTTATATATAACAACGCATAACTTGTAATTACGTCTGTTAAACTTAATCTTTAATCTAGAACCTAAATATACTCAGTTGGTGTAGACTCTGCTTTGATTACAGGGAGAGAGTAATAATTCCTTGTTTTAACGAACGAGTTGAGGAGATCTTGCCCATTGATTTGGCGTTGATAGTTTACAAGCTTGTGTCCGTGTTGACATCGATAGCTGTCGAGATCGTGCCCATTGGTTTGGCATTGATAGTTTACAAGCTAGTGTCCCTGTTAACATTGATAGCTGTCGAGATCATGCTTATTGGTTTGGCATGGATAGTTTACAGGCTAGTGTCCCTGTTGACATTGATAGCTGTCGAGATCATGCCCATTGGTTTGGCATTGATAGTTTACAAGCTAGTGTCCATGTTGACCCCAATAGCTGACAAAATTGTGCCTATTGGTTTGGCATTGATAGTTTACAAGCTAGTGTCCGTGTTGACATTGATAGATGACAAGATCTTGCCCATTGGTTTGGCATTGATAGTTTTCAAGCTTGTGTCTTTGTTGACATCATCATGCCCATTTGTTTGGCATTGATAGTTTACAAGCTAGTGTCCGTGTTGACATCGATAGCTGACAAAATTGTGCCCATTGGTTTGGTATTGATAGTTTACAAGCTAGTGTCCGTGTTGACATCGATAGCTGACCAAATTGTGCCCATTGGTTTGGAATTGATATTAATTGCTAGTGTCCTGGTTGACATCGATAGCTGAGGAGAACAAATCCAGGTTTTGACATTGATAGTAAAGTGAAACTGAGTTTTACCTGGATAGATACAGGTTTGAGAAACTCTCATGGAGTAGGGCATTTACTGCATAGATATAAAGATAGATAGACAGATAAATAGATAGATAGATATATATAGATAGATAGATAGATAGATATAGATAGATAGATAGATAAATAGATAGCTAGATAGATAGATAGATATATAGAATGATATATAGATAGATAGATAGATAGAGTATAAATGAGTATGGATGAATGATTAAGAGGTGTATCTCTATAACGACACTAAAATTAGCATAATGAATATATTAACAAATTAGGAGTGAAAAATGAACAGCTGGGCAAATAGATTTACAGATACATTCATGGCAAGAATACTGCACTTTGAATTATAATGAATTATAATTAATAAATCAAATATTACCGTTGTCCCTCCACCCATTCTCCAGTGTAATTATGTCTGTTAAATCTAGAAATTTAAAAATTTAACAAAATTCTATATTTTCTAAAATCTTGAAATATAATTCCGAATTCAAAACAGAACTCAAGTTTTGTGTTTGTAACATTGTTGTAACCAGAAACAAGTACGCACAAGATTTAAAATATAGAATATTCAGCGCTACAAAAATTATAATTTGGTTTAATTTGATGGATTAAAGTTTTAAGATTAAAGAGACTGTAAACATAATTTCAAGTGATCCTTCACTTTAAAAAGTGACATGTTCAATTCACAATGGTATCCTTTAAAGCTTTGTCCGATCAAAAATGCATGAGATGTTGCGGATATCTGCTTCAGAAACAATGAAGGAATTAAACCATTTTTAAAGCTTGAACAACGAAGACAGTTTCTTTAAAATGAAGAAGCTTACCTATCATTTGTAAAGAAGTATATAGTCCCTGTACCATGTGGAACCTGAAACATATTTAAAACACAATACGTCATAAACACAATTAGAATTTAGAATATAGAATTTAGAACTTATGAATTTAGAATTTAGAAATTAGAATTAGGAAATTAGAAATTAGAATTTAGAATTCAGATTTAGAATTTAGAATTTAGAATTTAAAATTTAGAATTTAGATTTAGAATTTAGAATTTAAATTTAGAATTTAGAATTTAGAATTTAGAATTTAAAATTTGGAATTTAGAATTTAGTATTCTACTATTTGATAATTTATCCATGCAAATCTAAAACCACCAAAAACGTCAATATTTAACACAAAGTAACTTTTCTTCTTTAAAGTCGTTAAAGGGTCTTGTGTTTTAATTTCAACTGACCCTCCAGACTCCAGTAAAGCATGTCTTATTAGAACGGTACAACCTTTTACCTGAGTCCAGCCTTTTACCTGAGTACTGTCGTAAAGTCGTCTTCCTTTGACATCTCCATCATACAGACCAGAGTTTAGGGCAGATCGATCCAAGAAAAGCTAGATAAATATATAGACTTTTCATGTTGATAATTATATAGACTTTTCATGTTGATAGATATATATACTTTTCATGTTGATAGATATATAGACTTTTTATATTGATAGATATATTCTATAAAATGTCTTGGCCTCGTTGAACATGAATATGAAGGTTTATATTTGCCAAACTGCAATGGTATAATATAGAGGGTAATATAACCCAGGGGTATGAAGTCTTTAGATCCGACCCAGTGTAATAAAACCTTATACCATTAAATAAGTTAAATATGAAACGACGAGGTTGCGCGATTATTGATTCCGGTGAAAAAAGGCCGTGTCTAATCAGGGTATTACGATCGGACTATAAAAGCCGAGTATAGTTCAAGGTCGTGTGCTAATACATCACAGAGTAAAAGCCAGGTACGGACATAGTCCGACGAGCGATAGTCCGGATGCTAAATTTTTGGCAGGCACAAAGTGTGTGCGCAATACCGGATAAATTCTATAAACTACCGTTCCCGGGTTCCCCGTAGGTAATGTTACAATGTCTATACGCAACATCCTCTATACTGAACTTCCGACCTACTACTTTCTGAACTATTGCAATATCCGAACTACGACAGCTGTAGGTCAGTTGCAAATTTCAATTTTTTAATCCGACCTACAGGCATGATTGAGTTCTAGCCATGTGCATGGAACGATCGTTATATCTATCCGCGAGTCCGACCTACGAATTGTGCGACCATGCCGACCTACAAAATGTGTACATCCGATCTACAATTGTTGACCATCCGACCTACAAATAGTACCATCCGACCTATTAAATGTGTACATCTGATCTACAATTGATGACCATCCGACCTATAATAATGTGTACATCCGACCAACAAATGCGTAAATTCGACCTACAAAAGTATAAATCCGACTTAAAGTCGATGACCATCCGACCTACAAATATAGTGACCATCCGACCTACTAAATGTGTTCATCCGATCTACAATTGATGCATGACCATCAGACCTACAAATTTGTACATCCGACCTACAAAAGTGTAAATCTGACCTATACAATCGATGACCATCTGACCATACAAATGTGTACATCCGACCTACAAATGCGTGTATCCGACCTACAATCGATGACCATCCGTCCTANATATTATTTTTGTAGCAGACATGCAAAAGAAACCACACACAATTAAAAACAATCAATTTTCAAAAAAAAAATCATTGAAATGTCATCCATCTTGATCAGATTTATCTTTTCTTTCAATTCTAAATGAATCTCTCTTATTTTTTGTATTCAGGATTTTAAAAAAGTTTTTTTACATTTTGATTAATATTATTTGCTACAGTTGGTCAAAATGTGGTTAAAATATACTACCTTGATGTCTGTAGATTCATAAGTCACCTTTAAACTCACATCCTTTGTGGGTAACCCTGTAGTCATAGATTAATAACAACACAGCTAGATAGAACACTAAATGTCGTCTTTTCAAGATTTAGGGATTTTTCGTTAAAAAAAAAACACTGAGGCAGAAGCCCAAAGGAGTTCCACGAAAGCAGCGCATGCACTCTCTCTGTCTTGTAATTCAACGCTGACTGCGCGTAACTCCGTTGGGCTTCTGCCTCAGGGTTATTGAAAAGACGACATCTGTGTTGTTATTAATCTATGCCTGTAGTTAATTCATATGTATGATTAAAATTTTTATCTTTTTTTCTCAGTGTTAGTTCAGTTTAATTTAAAGGTCTGAAGTATACGAAGTTTATATTTAGATATATCCTCTGCAGAGATTATGAAGGAGAAGGATACTAAGAATCCTTAAGAATCTGTGATGGATAAGAAGGAAGGGAATCCTCAAGAATCTGTGATGGATAAAAAGGAAGAGAATCCTCAAGAATCTGTGATGGATAAGAATGAAGGGAATCCTCAAGAATCTGTGATGGATAAGAAGGAAGGGAATCCTCAAGAATCTGTGGTGGATAAGAAGGAAGGGAATCCTCGAGGATTTTTGATGGATAGGAAGGTAGGGAATCATCAAGAATCTTTGATATATAAGAAGGAAGGGAATCCTCAAGAATCTGTGATGGATAAGAAGGAAGGGAGTCCTCAAGAATTTGTGATGGATAAGAAGGAAGGGAATCCTCAAGAATTTGTGATGGATAAGAAGGAAGGGAATCCTCAAGAATTTGTGATGGATAAGAAGGAAGGGAATCCTCAAGAATCTGTGATGGATAAGAAGGAAGGGAATCCTCAAGAATCTGTGATGGATAAGAAGGAAGGGAATCCTCAAGAATTTGTGATGGATAAGAAGTGAGTAAATCCTCGAGGATCGTTATACTTTATAATACTTAAAATGTTTTTTATTTTGCTTTAAATTGGTTCATATTCAATATTTTTATATTCTGTAATTTGATTTGAATTCGGGAAAACAACACAGTTTCAAAAATAACCATGTTTTAAATTTCTGTTTAAAATTTTCATTGGTTTTAGTGTTTTTTACATTTTTTATCACTACAACCCATTTGATGAAGCCATTTCTGATTTTTGTTAAAAAAATGCATTTTTAACACATGCCAATTAGAATTCCAAGTAGAATACAATTTTGCATCTGTAAAATGATCTTTTTAAAGTCACAACTTATAAAAATAAAACTAATGATTAATGAATGACCCTCTAAGGGAACAACAACACAAAATTATATTTACGCATTAAAAGAATTTAAAGATTTTTTTCCTTGGAGAATAGGCTGATTTGGGTGGAGATCAAAGATACTCATGTAGACACCCCTTTGTCGTTTGTAATATTTCACCATTAAGATTAAGAGGAGACCCTGTATATTATAAAANTGAATATATCTGTCATTATCTAAATATCTTTTTCTATGTCAAATCATAACTCATAAACCCCTGGACCGATTTGTCTCAAATTTCGAATATGAAACTGAGTATAACCACGAGAATGTTCTTAGTCTGGTTTTAGAATTCTTAAATTAAATTTTTTTTGATCGAGTGTGTGTTAGTTTTTCAGTTCTAACTGGGTTCCCAAGCTTGTTATCATGAATATATCTACAAAATAGAACAATACAAAATATCATTATAATTAAATTTTAAGGTTTTCTGTCTGCGGTTATTGTGATCAAAATGCCATTTTAAAAGTTCAATTTAGATTAAAAATGTGTTTATTTTATCAAAAATATTTAATCCCACAAATATAGCATGGAAGCCTGAATAAAGTGAACACGGAAAACGATTTAGATAAAACAAAATAAAAATATTTTGATTTTTGATTTTTAATGTTATTAAAATTAACTGACGATATTCATGAAAATTAATTAATATATATATATATATAATATTTATATATATAAATCAATATTTTAATATTAATTATATTTCTTTATGTAAACACAATACTGTTATTGATTATCATTATATAAATCTAAATATTATACTATTAATTATCTTTCTTTATTTAAATCAATATATTGATATTCATAATCTTTCTTAATATAAATCAATATTTTAGCATTAATTATCAATCTTTATATAAATCAATTTTTTAATATTAATTATCTTTCTTAGTATAAATTAATATATTCTACATAATAAAACAAACATATATATGTTGCGTATAGCTGGCCAAACGGCTGAACCGATTGGGCAAACAATTTTTGTGGACACTCATTTTTTTTAATTCTTTATTTTAACATTTTTTTCCCATGGGCAATGCCGGGCCCTTCATTAATATTAATTCCTGTGCAGGTAGGAATGCACTGCACCTGGCATGTATGCATGGAGAATTGGAGATGGTTAAATGGTTGATACATTCCTGTGCATTATCTCCAAAAATTAAAAATAATAGAGGAGTCTCTCCAATCCACAATGCTATATGGGAGAGATATCCTGAGATTGTAGAATTCCTGGTAGAATATGATGGTAGCCTGATCTCAAGTTTAGATGAGAACTCTGGTGAGTTTCCTCTCCATGCTGCTGTGAGTCGGAATAAACTAGAGATTGCTCAAGTTCTTCTGAAACATGGAGCTGATGTACTCCAGCCGACAGAACAAGGCATATTGAGAGAAGGCCTCGAAGGACGAACTCCCTTACATATAGCTGTTGCGAAACAATCCCTGGAATGTATTGATGAACTATTGAACTATCTAGATGTGGATTCAGTTCACCCAGAACTGAACAAAACTCCAATTCAGATATTTCTTGAGATTGATAAGTTTTATGCCCGTATGACGGATCATCATGTAATGCAGATAATGGAAAAAATGCTTAGCAAAGGTAAAAAACTAAATACATGAAATAGAAAATAAATTATATTACTATAAAAAAGAATGGATACATTATAGAACATTTTAGTTTTTACCTTTGACAAAGAAATTATAACAATATTTTCAATTTTGGAGATAAATTCAATTATTTAAAAAAAGGGATTTTAAAGGGACTGTAGGTAAAATTCTAGTGACCTTTCATTCCTAGAGTGGCATGTCTGATTAACAACAGTACCCTTTGACTGATTAATGACTGATCAATGAACTTATCCTTATTTATCTAGAGAAATCCTTGGTATTGTTTGAAAGCTGTTTATGTTTAAAGGGACTGTAAAGGAAAAATGAAAGGGGGTAAAGGCTGAAAGCTAATCACTTTAGCTCTTGATCGATGGGATATCTTCGTTTTCAGATTGGTTGCATATTTGCTGAATTTGATCTATTTAAACCCTCTACTTTTATACAAATTGTATATATATTAATTTCCGTATAAATTTGACATAGTTGTATATCAATTTCTCGAGATAGAAACATCAGATATAACTTTCATGGGTCGCGATCGAGAGCTAAAGTGATTAGCTTTAAGCCTATACTATACCCCTTTCATTTTTCCTTTACATTCCCTTTAAGAGATATTAATATTTACTTTCTAGAACTATAGTTTTCCTCGTCATGATTACCAAAATGTTGGTTACAGTATTTTTATTTATTATCAATTTTTACTCTCGATATGGGTTGGGATCCTAAAAACCCAATCTTTCAATTTGTACCAAATTCATACACTCAGTATTAGAAATGGGTCATAAACTCGTTTTGAAACTTATATCCCCTGCAATTGGAACACCATTTTAGAGATAACAACTAGGCGTTTTCTGTCCTCTGTAATAAGATGAAGGTTTCAGAGTACCGTTGTAAATTTGGCATTAAACTCTTTGCATGAAGGGTCACTTGAAATTATGCTTAAAGTCCAATTGAGAGTTTAAATTGATAATTCACTATTAAAACCTTGATAAATATAAATCTTAATTCACCTTTATTCTATAAAAGTGTGGCATAATACATACATATTCCTTAAAAACTCTAGAACTTATATTAGAATCTTAAATGCATGGGACAAAGCTCTGATACTTTCCTGCTTATTTGAAGAGCAAGACATATTCCTGATATATTTCATTTCATTAAGCTTAAAAGATTTTTTCATAATGAAAGAATAGGAATAAACTCCTTCACTCACAGATTAAAGGAATTGGGTTTTTGCAACAAGTTTTCTATTTCCTGTAACTTCGCAACCTGATCGTGTAAACCTTTCATATTCTAAATTTAGATTATTTGAACTGTCATAGAGTTTGCTTGAAATATCAAAGTTTGGTTGCAAAGATATCGGGATTTTAAAATCTAAGTTTATGGCAAAAACTCAATTCCTGTAGTAATTAAATATTAAAAAAAACTTTTAAGCACACTATGTTAAAACTGTTCTGCAATAGTTGATGATTTGATGGCTAATTTTCCCGGGACCTCGGAAAATCCACTTGAAAGCTGCATCAGACTTGGAAAAAAAAAAACTTTACAGATGATCTTCCCCTTTCAAATAATACTTTTAATAAAGAAAAAACTATCAATTCACAATTCTAACTCAAAAGAATTCAAGAAGTTGGGTTACATCAATTATCTTATATTCTTATAAAGAAGCTATGAATAGAAATAGAAATAGTATTGATCTTCTCAAAATATTATCAATCTATTGCATAATATTTATGTAAAAAAATCAGTTTGGTTTGGCAAATATCATATGCAGGATTTTACCTGCTTTCAGATTGTTTTTACATTGGCATTTTTAAGGATATATACTTGATATAACGCAATATTTATTAATAATTATTTTAACTCAAACTCTTACCTTAAGGAATTTAGAAAATAATATGCCTGATAAAGAAAGTTTTATCTAAAATTAATTTTTTTGTTAGGTTTTTATAGGGCTATTTAGAAAATATGAGAAAAAGTTATTTGTGACATTATTTGTGAACATTATTCACAAAAACCACACTGCAGTCCTTCAATTATTATACAGGGAAATTTTTATCCCAGGGAAAGATTTGACACTTTCTTTATCAGAAAACAAATTCATACCTTATAAACAAATTATTAACAATTTGAAATCATATTTAGGTAAATTGTATTTTAATGCTCTAATCAAGTTGGGAATCCAAAAAATCATCGATGCTTATGGATCAAATAGACATAGAATAATAAAATTCACACGCAGTCACCTGTCAGCAGCCTGCAGGGAGAAAAATATGGATTTATGCAAGGAAATCATTGCATTTTTGAACGAAGGAACTACATCTACGAAAAAACCTGATATTCATGAACTTGATCACATCATTCACTATACTGTAAAGAATCACCATATATTCAGCAAGACAGCACTGAACTATACAAATCAGAATAATGATAAAATCATAGGACTTGAGTTATTACAGCTAGAGAAGCAGGTTCACCAGGACAAAAACAAAGGTCTTTACTGTATAAAGGAGACCCTAGATAGTGGTCCCCTTCTTTCATGGATAATACAAACATACAAAGATTTTTTTCCAGATAAAAACAAATCGAAGACCATTGGTATTGCTGTCTGGACGTTTATAAAGGTGGGGCTCCTTTCTTTTCTTCCTCTCCTTTTTGATCTCATCTCAGACATTAATCTTGCCTCTGACTATGCAAGGTTTGGTTTCAGTAATGAAACTGTTGCCAATGAAGAGATTATCTGGAATTGTACTTCCTCTGTAAATTCTTCAGCTCTGGATTCTTCATGCTTTAAAAATAACTCCTATCTCAAGATTGACGAACTTTATACATCTGCTTATTGGACAACTTGGACAATTCTATCAGTTACACTACTTCTCCATTTGGCTATAATAATATGGTATAATGAAGATGATGTATCCTTTCTTAAAAATTTCATAAGAGTGGAAAACAAATACACTGCACGGGTAATCCAATTTGTAATGGTTTTTTTTGGAAAACTCTTATGGCCATTTCGACACATTTATTTTGAGGTGAAATACAATTGTGCAGAAAAGAAAACAGAGCTGATTAATTCAACCAATGAGAGCAAGACTATCTGGAAGCTCATTAAATCTGTAGAGAGTGGGCTAGAGAACAGTATCCAGCTGTTGTTGCAAATATGGCTGCTCAAGCCATACTTTGCAGATATAATGAGATGGAGTATCCCTGAACTTCTTCTGAGAACCATGTCTGGAATTCTGTATATTCTTACATTTGGATTGTACTCTTCATGCCAACTCGAGAAGATGTTGGGAAAAACTGTGTGGTCAACATTATCTATTGGTATCAGCATTGCTCTATTGAAAGCGGATAAACCGGCACGCATGGAATTATCACAAATTATTCCAATATGTTTAAGTATTCTGTGTCAAGTTATTACTAGAATTTTTATATTTCGCAATTTAACCCTTGTGGAATCTGTGACACCGCTGATCATATTTACATCTCTACATTTTATCTTTGTCTTCATTATCAAGATAATGAACACAACTAAAGAAATATGGTCTACAATCAAAGATTTGTTCAGAATCTTTATAAGTGGTGTATGCTCATTAGTAGTTTTAACACATTTGGAAAGTGGAGAAACCTTCTTTTCACAGACAGCGTTCTTTATTCTAATAGCCATTGAAAATCTTGTGATGATGCTACTTCCTGTGATATTCCCTTCTTTATACCCAGAGTATACCTGCTATCCATACCAGAGTCATATCAATGGAATTATTTGTGTTTTCGTTTTGTGGTTTTTTGGAATAGTATTCCAGGCAAGTTATATTTAAAAAATTTTAATGACACTACTAGGTGTTAAAAAATTGGGAAGGCAGGCAGGATGCCAATAGCCACAAAAATTAACCATTATCCATGTGTCACATGCTTAAAAGGCAAGGACATGTGAATATGTGTGGCTCATGGCTACTGGAAGACAGAAAGGTTCAAATTTTGCAAGTAACTAAAAATTATTGTGGTTCACATCCGACTGCCCTCCCAAGTTGACATCTAATTAAAAATAGGAAATAATATTTCCAAAATTCTTCAGAAGATTAGTGTTAGAATTTAGTTTTTTGAATTTGAAGAAAGAATTGCATTTAGTGTTCTTGAGATGGAATTTAAAGAATTTAAGCCGCGGTTTAAACCTGCCAAAACCCGGTTTAAATTAAGCACCGGCTTAAATCTTGAAACATTTGATATAATTTTAAGTGGAACCAACCATATTTAAGCCCCGGCTTAAATTTAAACCGCCGCTCAAATTCTTTAAATCCGGCCATTGATTTAAAAAAAAATTAAAAAGGAGTAAATCCAGTAGATAAGAGAACCAACAAAATTTGATATATTATTCAATGAGTATTTCCCCCTTTTCTCTGCTGGTTCTTTGGAAATCCACTGTGACATATTTTTAGCTGTTAGACTTTTAGAAATTAATCTGTTTTCTATTTTAAGTGATGTAGGTGTTCCCTTAAAATCACTAGAATCTTCTTAGCATTTTACTTAGTCAAGCTGAGAATTTTATCATTTCATTTTTTTAGATTCTCCACTACAAAATGGCACATCAATGGTCAGATTTAAATGGAGACAATGTTATAAAAAGAGTAAAAGGATGGTTCGGATGCAGAGAGGAAGAAAACAGAAACCAAAATGAGATTCTCCCCTTGCTTATTTTATAGAGCAACACATCTACTCAAGCTACAGGTCTAGAAAATGTGGAAAGATGTGGGAAGGTAACTGTTAAAACCTGCACATTTTTATAGTTACAAGTCGTATCTAATTCAATAGTTTTGGAGATAATATGGATCCAGTTATTGCTTCAAATCAATATGAAAACTATTAATGTTTGTAACAGGTCCTGTATATAATTATTATTTTGTTCTTTGAATAACGTATTTTGGAAACTGTGATTGCTACAAGATCAATATGAAAACTACTCATTTCAGTAACAGGTCCTATATTATTAAATAGTTTTTGGATAACTATGATTTGGAATCTGTTATTATCACAGACTGATCATTATAAACCTAAACAGGTTCTATCTTGGTTCATAGCTGCTTGGATAACTATAATTATTGCTACAAGATCACAAAAGACGAATCAATTGTCTTCAGCTGATCCTATCTTGGTACAAAGTTCTAGGAGAACTATGATATGGATTTAATTATTGCTACAAGATCACAAGAGACTATAAAATGTTTATATTACTGTATCTTCTACTAGTTGTTGGATAACAATATTGGAACCAGTTTTAACCATAAGATTGCCCCAGACTAGTCATTAAAGACTTAAATGGACTGTTTTTATCATTTCAAGTGACCAATCATTTAAAGAAGTGGCATTTCCGATTGACAATGAAACCTTTAAAACCTTTATNTCTGACCTGTAAATATTCCTTGTTTTATGTATACAGTACACCCTTCATTAATTTCATACGTTTATATACAATATGATTCTTCTTAAATTGTTCAATATATTAATACATTTTAAATAATTTGTATCGTCGATTTTTACTTTTGTTTAAAATTTATTTGATTAATATTTTGATTTTACTGGATTTATTGAATAAATATATAAAAATTATTTTTCTAAACTTCATTTTTTTATGTTTGAATTTAACCTTAAAAGGAAGTATGATACTGGATTTGTTGTTTGTTGAAAACAGTTATTTTTTTAACCTTATTCCAGATTTAAAAAATAACATACAGGGTTAACCATAAAGAATGAGAAATTAAGGACGACCTGAAAGATAAGTCTAATGTTACAATCCATTCGGTTTTCTGTATCTACATATATATATGGTACAGGCTGTCCTACGAAACATGTTGAATAGTTTTGAATGTCTTCTACCATATTTTATATTGAATATTAAAGAATTTTTGCATGTCATTTCGTTAAAAACATCCTTTTCTCAAATATATTTTACTTTGAAATCAATTTTACAATAATATAATTGGCATACAATATTTCTCATCATTCTCTTTAATATCAAACAACTTAACTAATTATGGAAGAAGACATTTTAAACTATTTACCAACTGTCATATTTCGTGGAACACTCTGTAGTTGTCTGATTTGCCTAAAATTCAAAACGGGTATTTTGTCAGAACAACAAAATTTGCTTGGTTTGAAAAGTTTTTTTTAGATCTTCAGAGAAAGCTGGGTTCCTAAGCTAATTACAATAATATTCAGGGAAAGCTGGGTTCCCAAGCTAGTTAAAAATAATATTCAGGAAAAGCTGGGTTCTCAAGCTAGTTAAAATAATATTTAGGGAAAGCTGGGTTCTCTAGCTAGTAAAAAATAATATTTAGGGAAAGCTGGGTTCCTAAGCTAATTACAATAATATTCAGGAAAAGCTGGGTTCCCAAGCTAGTTAAAATAATATTCAGGGAAAGCTGGGTTCCCAAGCTAGTGTAAAAATAATATTTAGGAAAAGCTGGGTTCTCAAGCTAGTTAAAAATAATATTCAGGAAAAGCTGGGTTCTCAAGCTAGTTAAAAATAATATTCAGGAAAAGCTGGGTTCTCAAGCTAGTTAAAAATAATATTTAGGGAAAGCTGGGTTCTCAAGCTAGTTAAAAATAATATTTAGGAAAAGCTGGGTTCTCAAGCTAGTTAAAAATAATATTCAGGAAAAGCTGGGTTCCCAAGATAGTAAAAAATAATATTTAGGGAAAGCTGGGTTCCCAAGCTAGTTAAAAATAATATTTAGGGAAAGCTGGGTTCTCAAGCTAGTTAAAAATAATATTTAGGGAAAGCTGGGTTCTATAGCTAGTAAAAAATAATATTCAGGAAAAGCTGGGTTCCTAAGCTAATTACAATAATATTTAGGGAAAGCTGGGTTCTCAAGCTAGTTAAAAATAATATTTAGGGAAAGCTGGGTTCTCAAGCTAGTTAAAAATAATATTTAGGGAAAGCTGGGTTCCCAAGCTAGTTAAAAATAATATTTAGGGAAAGCTTGGTTCCCAAGCTAGTTAAAAATAATATTCAGGGAAAGCTGGGTTCCCAAGCTAGATTAAAATTATTTTTCGACAGTTAACATTTTGCCAAGTAGAAATTTACAAGTTGACAGTTTCGCCAGTTATTCAATTTGCCAGTCAATACTTTCTTCCAACTAAGAAAACAAAAGTTTTTATTTGAGCTGATTAGTAAAATGATAAAGAATTGCAAATCTTCAGTTGGAAGTTGGAACAAGAAAATAGTAAAGTAGGAAGACGACTTTTAAACTTCAGTTAAGATATTAAATAGGTAAAATATGTCAACATGATACACAGCATTTGTGTAGTGTTGCACAGACCCAGTTCATGAGTTGATTTTAAAATAGATTTCCACATCAAATGAAAATATTTCTTAAATTCTGTCTTCCTACAGTGATAACCAGAAAACTCTGTAATAAGAAGACGACTTTTAGAGTCAAGTTTTAACTTGAAATAGCTCAATTTTTTAAACATCGATTTACATACTTACTTTTAATTCTTTAAGGAAAAGAGTTAATTTTCTGATATAAATCAAAAACTTTTTACCTATTTACCGGAATATACAGGGTAAACCATAAAGGATGAGACTTCAGAGACAACTCTACGGAATTTATACTGTCTGTTTCCTTTTATTCACGATTCCCTAGAAATGCAAATTTGTTTCTTTCTTTGTCAAATCATTAAAAATGCCATCAGATTACTATATATAATGCATAATACGTAATTTAAGCTTAGAATCGTCACATTTTAAGAGTTTCCGGTCGTCTTTACAGTCTCATCTTTTGTGGGTAACCCTGTAAAATTATACCATTACAGATAAAAAACTATGAACTGAATGCAGCCAATAATACCAAACAATGACAAACAAATTTAATTTCTATTTTCTTTACAAGACTGAAAAAAAAAATTTGTAACGTATGAAAATGATAATTTATTTATTCATTACCAGCATATTATTATATTATTATTTATAAAACTAGGCTTTCAGGGCGCTTCGCGCAGATTTTCTATTTCAATTGAACATTTTCTTTTTGTATACATTGTAAAACAAAAACTAACAAAAAAGACCGCGGATTTTATAAAAATTTCGTGGATTGTTTTAAATTTAATTTTGTTGGAGGCTAATTTTAAAAACTTTTATCATTTATGAATCTTTCCATGGTTTTTTATTTATGATATTTTATTTATTTATTACAAATAATCTAATAAATGAAGATAACGATATTTTATTTAATACTAGATGGTTTTCTTGTCTTTTCTTTTATTTCTAAAAAGGTTAAGAATGTCTATAGGAACAGGAAATATTATTGTGGAATTCTTTTCTCCAGAGATAGAACTCAGCGTCTGAAACAAAAATTATTCAAGGAACTGAAATCTATGGAAGGTCATGTCCTATTCACAAAGGTACTATATCTGAGCAAGGAGGACTGAGATCACCTTATTATTCTAGCTAAAAATTGTATTGTATGAGGTAGGGAACCCCCGAACGCCATGAGCCTCTGCTATGCAGACACGAGCCTCCCAAATTTTCTAGGCAGACCGGGCCTCTACTATGCAGACCAAGCCTCTGCTATGCAGACCGGGCCTCCACTATGCAGTCCAAGCCTCTGCTATGCAGACCGTGCCTCCACTATGCACTAAACGAGCATCCACCATAAAGCACATCTGTTTTAAATCTTGGTTTTTATGTGTAATGAAAAATTTTAACAATTTTTTTTGACGTAGTGGCATAAGAATTTTACTAATGATTAGAGTTATTTACTGGTTGTCATGATTAGAAACATATATGAACTCATAAAGTGGTTTATAAGATTTATACTAAAACTTTAAACATTTCTTACTCAGAAAGGAAACTATTTGGAGAAATATTTCTGGAGTAAATTTATTATGTTTTGTTGTAATCTTTGATTTAAACACTTTTTTTGAAAAATGTTAAGATTTAAATGATATCAATTTTCTAGGTTTAATTTGAACTACAAAAAAGGTACTGCTTAAATCAAAAATTCAATTCAAATTTTTCTCTAAATATTTTCCTTTATTAACAAATGTTTAAGTTTTATATACCATTTTATTAGTCATAATTAGGCACTATTCATGATAATTGATGAATAATACTTCTCATCTTTGAGAAACCTCTCAGGCCTGCACTATGTTGAAAAATTTGTAAAAAATCTTTAATTTAAACATAAACACATGTTTAAAAAAAACTCCTGAGTCTAAAATTAAAGAATGCGCGTAATTTAAGTTTAAGCTTAAAAGTTCTGTAAAATAATGAGTTGCTACTTAAAAATTGGGAAAATACGGGATTTCAAGATTTTAATCATGGGTTTGAATATGAACTCGATGATTTCAGGGAGTCAAATATTTAAACCCAGGGTTAAAATTCTTCAATCTTTAGTTTTAGACTCTGTATTACATTTTGATGTATTGCGCTAGCTCATTACTGCATAGCGGAGACTCCGTCTGCCTAGCAAATCTTGGAGGCTCGTGTCTGCATAGCGGAGGCTCATGGCGTCTGGGGGTTCCCTCCCTTATTGTATACACTCACTGCCAGTTATGTGTACTTCAGTCGGCACTCATTCAGTATGAAACAAAAGTTGTGAATCAGACATGCCACTTTTACTGGAGGGTCACTTAAAGTTTCTGTAACGGTTGACGCCTAAAATCTCTCTTTTATTTTTATTTTTTGTTTAAATTACCATTTCTGTATTTCTCACAAATAATATTTTACCTCCACTGCAAATATTTTAAAACATTAAGATAATATTTTAATATTTTACATAATATTTTTATAAATATATAAACTTCTAACAATTCAAGGAAAACATCAAAATTCAATCAATGCTATTTCGTTTCTATTTATTCTAAATCTATTTTGAATATAAAGTTTTTAAATATCCTTTTCATCCCTGATATCTCTTATATATCTAGGCTTTCAGGACGCTTCACATCCCTCTCCTAGCAACAGTTTAATGGGACGGACCAGCTATGTAAGGTAGTTAAACTGAGTATGCAGTGTTGTTGACAAATTCTTTAGGATTCATTTGACACATACAAAACTCTTCCACAATGTATAATTACTGAGTTTGAGTGCCAAGTCGAGGTTCAAAATCATGAATTTGGGTGGGTACGTTTTCAGAATCGGTTTTTATTAAAATTATCAAATAACGGTCTGTCCCTTTAAGCGTTTAAATATGGTTTTCAAGCGCCCATTTTTATTCTTTGTTATTGTAAAACTCAAAAAACATTATTTTCAAGAACATTTTTCCACTTTTAACCAATTAAAAGTTGTCTGACCTGTAAATATCTCAGCTGGAGTGCTCTCTACTATGGTTCCTATAAAAGTTGTCTGACCTGTAAATATCTCAGCTGGAGTGCTCTCTACTATGGTTCCTGTAAAGGTTGTCTGACCTGTAAATATCTAAGCTGGAGTGCTGCAGGACTCTCAGCTATGGTGGTTGAAGCATCTCTAAGTGCTCGGCTTGCCTTCTGTTCCCCCTCAGCAGCTATAACCTACAGTGCAGAGGTCGGCAATTATATCAATACAATGAAGACGACTTTTTATTAATAATGCATTGATCCCTAACAAGCATGTTTAAATTACAATTTTAAAAGTTAAAAACAGAAAAGTTATTAATCGACAACTTTTCTGTTTTTAAATATTGGTAGAAATCAAAATTAGAATATATTCATAGAAGAATACAAGCATTTAGTGGAACCGTCTATTGTAATTTTACCAGTACACCCATTTACCGGTACCAGCAAGTCTAGTGTTGTTGTAACAGTACACGCATTTACCGGGACCGGCAAGTCTAGTGTTATTGTACCAGTACCCGCATTTACCTGTACCAGCAAGTCTAGTGTAATTGTACCAGTACACCCATTTACTGGTACCGGCAAGTCTAGTGTAATTGTACTAGTACACATATTTAACGGTACCGGAAAATCTATTGTAATTGTACCAGTACACGCATTTACCGGTACCAGCAAGTCTAGTGTAATTGTACAAGTGCATGCATTTACCAGTACGGGCAAGTCTAGTGTAATTGTACCAGTACATGCATTTACCAGTACGGGCAAGTCTAGTGTAATTGTACCAGTACACACATTTACCAGTACGGGCAAGTCTAGTGTAATTGTACCAGTACACACATTTACCAGTGGCAAGTCTAGTGTAATTGTACCAGTACACCCATTTACCGGTACCGGCAAGTCTAGTGTAATTGTACCAGTACACACATTTACAGGTACTGGCAAGTCTAGTGTAATTGTACCAGTACATGCATTTACCGGTACTGGCAAGTCTAGTGTAATTGTACCAGTACACCCATTTACCGGTACCGGCAAGTCTAGTGTAATTGTACCAGTACACACATTTACAGGTACTGGCAAGTCTAGTGTAATTGTACCAGTACATGCATTTACCAGTACTGGCAAGTCTAGTGAAATTGTACCAGTACACCCATTTACCGGTAACGGCAAGTCTAGTGTAATTGTACCAGTACACGCATTTACAGGTACTGGCAAGTCTAGTGTAATTGTACCAGTACATGCATTTATGGGTACTGGCAAGTCTAATGAAATTTTACCAGTACACCCATTTAACGGTACCGGCAAGTCTAGTGTAATTGTACCAGTTAACGAATTTACAGGTACTGGCAAGTCTAGTGTAATTGTACCAGTACATGCATTTACCGGTACTGGCAAGTCTAGCGTAATTGTACCAGTACACCCATTTACCGGTACTGGCAGGTCTAGTGTAATTGTACCAGTACACATAATTACCGGTACCGGCAAGTCTAGTGTAATTGTACCAGTACACCCATTTACCAGTACCGGCAAATCTAGTGTAATTGTACCGTAAAAGCATGTACTAGTACCGGCAAATCTAGTGTAATTGTACCAGTACAAGCATTTACCGGTACCGGCAAATCTAGTGTAATTGTACTGTAAAAACATGTACTAGTACTGGCAAATCTACTGTAATTGTACCAGTACAAGCATTTACCGGTACCGGCAAGTCTAGTGTAATTGTACAGTACAAGCATTTCCTAGTACCGGCAAATCTAGTGTAATTGAACCAGTTCATGCATTTACCGGTACTGGCAAGTTAAGTGTAATTGTACCTGCAGTACAAGCATGTACTAGTACCGGCAAGTCTAAAGTAATTTTACTAGTCCACGCATTTACTGGTACTGGGGATTGGAGGGAATTGGAGGGAATTGGAGGGAAGAACTGGAGAAAGAATGGAAGAATGGAATAGAAGTGAGAAGGGTTTAGAACGTAGGAAAGGAAGGGCAAAGAATGAAAGGAGAGAATAGAATTCAGAAGGGTTTAGAACGTAGAAAAGGAAGGGCAAAGAGGAGGATTGAAAGGAGAACGGAAATGAAGGGAGGAGAAGGAAAAAGGAAGGAATGCAGGTAGAGTAAGGAATATAAGGAGAAGGGAAAGAAATGAAAGGAGAAAGGGGAGAAAATGGAGAAGAAGCAATGAAAGGAGAAGAGACAGGAAGGGAGGATAAGGAAGGAAATGAGAAGAGGAAAAAAATTGAGAAAAGAAAATGAAATGAGAATGGGAAAGGAATGAGAGAAAGGGGAAAAGGAATGAAAGGAGAAGGAGAGAAATGAATAAAAGGAGTGGAAGAGAAGGAATGAAAGGAGTGGTAGAGAACGAATGAAAGGAATGAATGGAGAAGGGAAAGGAATGAAAGAAGAAGAAAAAGGTAAAGGGGGAAAGGAATGAAAGGAGAAAGAATGGGAATACAAGGAGAAAGAAAAGGAATAAAAGGAGAAAGAAAAGGAATAAAAGGAGAAGGGAAAGGAATGAAAGAAGAAGGAAAAGGTAAAGGGGGAAAGGAATGAAAGGAGAAAGAAAAGGAATGAAAGTAGAAGGGAAAAGAAATAATATAAAATTGCAGTGAGGACTGATTGGCAGTGGACCATACCATCTAATTAATCCAATTCCTGAACCCAGGATACAGATAGATAGATAGATAGATAGATAGATAGATAGATAGATATAAGATATGTATATATAGATAGATAGAAAGATACCTTAGCTCTAGCTTCTCTAGCTGCCTCTGCTTCTGCTGCCATAGCTCTCTGTAAGATGACCGGAAGACGAACATCTTTTCTAAAAACTTAAATGTTAATTAATGGGACTGTCGCCGTAATTTCAAGTATACCCTTCATCTAGAGGAAGGGACATGTCAAGTTCATAACGGTTCCCTTTAAACCTTTATCTGATCAATAATATGGAAGATACAGTTGTTTTTATAGCTTGATGAAAAGTGCTCAGTTCTGATATAGTTCCTATTGTTTCTGTTAGAAGATATCCGTAAGTCATTTTTATAAAGAAACCACAATTGAAAATAATCTTAGATATATTATAGATATATATTATAGTACCATTGGGAATCGGATACATGAAGAAGGTCAATTAAAAAAGTTTCTCTTAAAAAGTATTTTATGACTTAGAAAAAGACAATTAGTATTTTTACTAATGTGCCATAAACTTTCTTTAGAGAATGCTATAACCGATTAAAAAGCGTTATTATTGAAACCTTGGCTATATGGTTCATTGTTTTAGTTCTATTTTCTTCAAAAGAACTTTTGAGGCATAGATTAATAAAAATACAGATGTCGTCTTTTCAAGATTTAGGGGTTTTTCGTTCACAAAAGCACAAACGAGTTGCCGCGTTGAGTTAAAAGACAGAAAGAGCATGCTGCGCATAACTCCTTTCGGCTTCTGCCTCAGGGTTATTGTGAACAAAAAACCCCTAAATCTTGAAAAGACGACATCTAGTGTTCTGTCTGAATTGTTATTAATCTATGATTTGCCCTTTAAAAAAAAGAATGGCTATTTTATCCACTCCTCCTTTAAAGCAAAACAAAACAATTAAAAATGATAAGTTATGTTTCCTGTGGTTCAAGACTGACATTAGTAAGAAAAATAAATCTAAATAATATATTACATTGGTCCTGGTAGAATATAGAAGCAATTTAATAGATTAGGATTTTCAAAATATCATGGAGAGGGAGGGTAGAGGAGAAGGTATGGGAAATGAGGGAGGAAAAGGAGGGATAAGGAGTGTAGGGGAAATTGAGTTATGGAGAGGGAGGGTGTTTAGTAAAGAGTGGAGGAGAGGGACCGGAGTTGAAGAAGGGAGAAGTAAGAGGTTGAATCAGGGGAATTTAAGTAGAAAGTTGGGGAAAGGGTTAGGAGGGTTAGTTGAGGGAATGGGAAGGAGGGTTGGTTAAGGTTAGGAGGGTTAGCATAGGAAAGCAGGATTAGCTGAAGGAAGGGTGAGGAGGGAGAGAAGGGTTAGATTAGGGAAGGGGAAGGAAAGGGCAGAAAAGTAGATTAGTTTGATTGAGAGAAACCTAGAAAATAGTTTCCTCAAATCAATTTTGAATTTATTTAATTCTCCACCCAATAAAATAAAATCTAAACAAGTGAAATGGAATAAAAATATAAATCGGTTAATGTAAAATGTTAAAATAATTTTATCATTTTAATCTTTGGACCAGATTGGACCAGATTGGACCAGATAGGACCAGATTGGACCAGATTAGACCAGATTGGACCAGATTGAACCAGATTGAATCAGATTGAATCAGATTGAACCAAATTGAACCAAATTGAACCAGATTGAACCATCCTTTACCAAATAAGACCAGAATGGACTAGATTGAGCCAGATTAAATCCCATTGGGCCAGATCAGTAGAGATTGTATCAATTCCGGCCAGATTTTATCAGCTTGGACCAGAATGAACCATATTGGACCAAATTGAGCTGATATATATATAAAAGAGAAATGCTAAAAGAATTTGTGTAAATGTATTAATTTCTATGCGTAATGAGAGCTCATATTTTTACCATAGATAAATAAATAAACATAGATAGCTTATGTACGCAAAATTACCAAGAATTGTACAGTCCGTGAACTCATGCTTCTAGGGGTCAAAGTGTACTTCAATGATAAGTGGGGTGGTTTGGTGTTTTAATGGATTTCATAATAGAGTGTTGTTAACATAAATTCGAAATATAAGGAAGACGATTTTACCGACTCAATTGCCGTCAAATATTCTCAAGATGTGTGTATACACAGGATCCATTTCCTCCACGAAACACACACATGTAAACCCCGCTCCTTTGTTCCCCGCCTCACCCCAGCAGTCAGTCAGGTTTAGAGAGTTGAGCCGGTAACAACTCCGACACAGGGAGCCTCTTGACTCCTTTATGATGATGACGCAGATACTCAGCGCGACGCTCCTGTTGATCTGCTCCACCAACATGAAGCTCTACATCACCCCCATGACTCCTTTATGATGATGACGCAGATACTCAGCGCGACGCTCCTGTTGATCTGCTCCACCAACATGAAGCTCTACATCACCCCCATGACTCCTTTATGATGATGATGCAGATACTCAGCGCGACGCTCCTGTTGATCTGCTCCACCAACATGAAGCTCTACATCACTCCCATGAAGTCCCCCCCAAATACTCATCATTTATTCCTTTGTTAATTTCTAAACCAACCAAGTTTAACTCCGCCTTAAATGCAAATATTTCAAAACTTTCGTTTTTATTAAATAAATGTTAGAAATATCCATTTAGATCTCTTTTATTTTATTATAGTGACTTTTAAAGTCAACAAGTGTATAATAACTCCGGGAATGGAACTATTTGAACAACAATATTTCACTGAGCAATATATCATATTGACGAGAAATGAAGAAGGACATGAGAAGGATTAAACTAACTTAAATTTCTCTCTACAGAACTCATGTACACCACAAGTACTCAATGACATAAGAACAGCCAATGTTCACAACCGACCTAGGTAATCTATATAATAGGAATATCTTTAAAACATCTCTGTACATTTACATCTTTCAATATGAAAATGTCGTCTTATGCGCAATCTATCTTTATCTATGATTTTTACTTTTAAATGTTCCCCTTAATATATATTCTGGGTTTGCATGTTAGACTTGGCTTAAATCTTTGATTTAAACTTAAATCAAATGTTTCAACCGTTTTGTTTAAATTCAAAACCAGCCTGTTTGTTCCAGGGGAAAAAGTTTTATCATCTGAATTTTTGTTTGAATTTCAAGAAGTTCTAAAAAACATCTACAGTCTACAGTGAGAACTTCTGGAATTGAAAGACGACATTAAATACTTGAGCGTAATTGATGTTATGTTTCTCATATTCATTGTACTGTTTTAAGTCATAAATTGAGCCTAAACAACTCTTATTCCAGAGTATTCTGGTTCGTACTTTACTACTGTATTACTACTGTATTACTACTGTATTACTACTGTATTACTACTGTATTACTACTGTATTACTACTGTATTACTACTGTATTACTACTGTAATACTACTGTATTACTACTGTATTACTACTGTAATACTACTGTATTACTACTGTATTACTACTGTAATACTACTGTATTACTACTGTATTACTATTGTATTACTACTGTATTACTGCTGTATTACTGCTGTATTACTACTGTATTACTACTGGATTGCTTCTGTATTAATACTGTATTACTACTGTATTACTACTGTATTACTACTGTACTACTACTGTACTACTACTGTATTACTACTGTATTACTACTGTAATACTACTGTATTACTACTGTATTACTACTGTATTACTACTGTACTACTACTGTATTACTACTGTATTACTACTGTATTACTACTGTATTACTACTGTACTACTACTGTATTACTACTGTATTACTATAGTATTCCTATTGTATTACAACTGTATTACTACTGTATTACTACTGTATTACTACTGTATTACTACTGTATTACTATTGTACTACTACTGTAGTACCTTTCTGAATACGATATTAACTGTTTAAGAATACAGAGTGTCTTGAAATTACATAAACTGTCCCTTTAAAGTTTCTACTTACATCTCCACCCTCTCTACTTTAACCCCCCATGGATCTGTGGCTTCGTCTAGAGTTGTCTCCATCCAGTGTGAAATAGATTCTCTCTCAGAAAGTATTTCCGCTAAACATTTTGTACCAAGAACATTCCTAAACATTTTGTACCAAGAACATTCCTAAACATTTTGTACCAAGAACATTCCTAAACATTTTGTACCAAGAACATTCCTAAAAATTTTGTACCAAGGACATTCCTAAACATTTAGTACCAAGAACATTCCTAAAGTAAAGAACTGGATTTGCGCATTTTTGTCAAGAATATTTGCAGATTTGTACATTGATACCATTTACAAAGGATTTTCTTTCAAACTGAGAAATCACCTTTAATCTTTGAAATAATTTCCAGCATTTATTTTTCAACCTAATTTTACATTTACAATTCCTGAAAAAAACCCCAGTCTTACCATTTTCAAATATTGACCGGCCAGTTTTGTCCCAAATTGTTTTATTCTCAACTAAATCACAATTTTTTTAATTTATGTTTTGTTAAAAATAATGCTAAAATCAGGTTGTCAAATACATGCCGCAAACTATGTCAAAGATCAAAGACGATTTTCAAGTCCAGGGGCGTAGTTTGGGGGGTGGGGGCGGTACCCCTGTGCACCCCCTAGACATGCACCCCCTATGCCCCCCAAGAGCGGGGTTTCATTTAAAATTCATTTCAGCCCCTCAGAGCAATTGTTTGACGTAGAGTTCTATAAGATTTAAATAATACTGTCTCCAGCGTAATCTAGTCATAATATGATTGATATTGATATGATTTATGAAATATTATATATCAAAAAATAAAATATATTTTTAAAAAGTTTTTTGCTCTACTACTAGATTTTAAATTGGTAATTATGGTCAGATGGTCAGGTAGATTAATATTGATTTTTATCTGAGTTTTTTCTCTTAATATTGTTTTTAGGGGGGTGGACATCAACCGTTAGGGGGTGCACAAAAAAAGTTCGGCGGCTAAAAGTTCACCCCCAAACCGCCACTACGCCCCTGCTTTTATCTGTTCAGAATTTCCGCTTCCGTTTATGAACATCCTGCACTGCATAATACAAAATGTTTATTTCAGTTGTTTTAATCTTTTGCCATATTGAAAAAAAGACCCTATTAACATTACAAAAATACAACTATTGATAGGCATCATTTGGGTAGATCCGTTTTTAAACATTGAAGATTGTTTGGCTTTAAATGAGGCTTCGTAAAAATTAGAGATATCAACACATTTTAAATTTTATTCTTGATAACTTTGCTTTCTGCATCATGAAAAAATGTTTTTTCTGAATAAAATATATTGTGTATTTTTAAAAGCATTTTATAAATACTTTATGAAAACCGTTTTGTTCATATTTTTGACCAGAAAGTTGAGATTTTGAACAGGGTACTAAATCAAACTTGAATAGAATACAATTTTAAAATTTGATTAAAATCTCAGATTCTTTTAAGGCCTCTTAATTGTGGAAACCCAGACGATGCCTATGCTAGTGGGGGGGGGGGGTAAGTCAAATAGGCCTATAAAAGGCATGGGTACTGTAAAAAGTCTGGTCGGGCCAACAAAGTTTAAACCAGGCTGACATAGGATAAGGTCGGGTCAGTACATGTTGCGCTATACTAAGGTCGGTACGAGGAGGCGGTCCGTCATTTGGTCAGCCGGTCAGTTGGTTGGTCGGTCAGTCGGTCAGTCCGCTGTGGTTTAAACCACTATTCGAAAATCGGCAACATTAGCAAGACCCCCAGTATTTACCTAAGAGTTGTAGCTCCTAATAGATGGGTTGAGTGTCCATAGTCCTCCACATTATTAGTTGCCATAGTAGGGTTAGATACTCTATAGTAGACTACAGCATCTACAGTCACAGTTACAGAATCACGGGACAGTATCTAAACAATCAGAGCTCGGAACTTTTGAATTGGACCTCCTTAATCCCGATCGCTTAATCTGAATATCTGATGTGGACACTTTTGACTTTTTCCTTAATCCGCTCTTTTTCTCTCTTTTTGATACCTAACATGCAGATTCCGACCAATGAGAGTTATCTCATTAAATGGCAATTAAATTTCCCCGAATCTGATTGATTCTGCATACGCCACCCTACACTATTTAGGACACAAACTAAAGATTAAATTAATCTTGAGATTAATAAAAAGAGGAGATCAAGCATTAATCTCAATATCCACAATTATGAAGTTTTCTGCTCAGAGCTCGGAACTTTTGGGTAAAGTTTCCCTAATCTTATTCGCTTGATCTCATTATCCAATGTGAACCTTTTAAAATTGAATTTATGCAGTAAAATAGAATGAGAAAATGCTCAAAATATGTACTTTGTATAAGTTTGCCTTTTAAGGTGTATCGATTTTTACAAGTGCACTATGCTCATTCGGAATAAGAATGGAATTGTATATAATGCAACATTTAGACAAGACTTTTTATTGCAAATCAATTGTTAAAAGTTGAAAATTCACAAATGCAAGCGAGAGAAGAAAAAACACTAATAAGCTTACTTAAGGGGTTCTAGCGGAATGGAAATATTGTTGTGTGCAGAATTAGGTGTGCAAGAAAATGCGCAAATAGCACGGAATGTTTTTAAAGCAATTTGCGCGAAAATGTTCTGCAAATGTGAAATTTGTGCAATTTTACCAATTTCTGGGTATTTACATATATCATTAGATTACCATGAAATGGGTCATAAAATCTAGAATGTCGCAGGTGCGTTGAAATTTAAGAGAACATTTATTTAAAAGTGCCATAAACAATTCACGCCATCACCCTTTGAAGCAAGGTTGTATAATAAGGTTGCTTAAGTAAGCAACCTTATTATACATCCTTGATTTGAAGTGAAAATTGCAGCTAAGATATTTCCAACTACGTGAATATTTACCTCCTGGGGCCCAGCTAGGATATTTCCAACTACATGAATATTTACCTCCTGGAGCCCAGCTAAGATATTTCCAACTATGTGAATATTTACCTCCTGGGGCCCAGCTAAGATATTTCCAACTACGTGAATATTCACCTCCTGGGGCCCAGCTAAGATATTTCCAACTACGTGAATATTTACCTCCTGGGGCCCAGCTAAGATATTTTCAACTAAGTGAATATTTACCTCCTGGGGCCCAGCTAAGATATTTCCAACTACGTGAATATTTACCTCCTGGGGCGGGACATCAAAGGAAACTGTTCTAAGATCTACCTAAGAACCATCAATACATATTTTACATTGAACAGAAATACTTTGTACATTTTTTTTTCTCCCAAAATGGCTCCACTTCCCTACCCCCTTGTCTTGATTCTGGGGCCTACAAAAAATTTTCAAAATTTATTCTGAGATGGGAACCCATTATTACGATTACTTGATCTTGATATCCACTGTGGGCACTTTTAATTTGAGGAAAAACTGAACAGTTCCATATCTTCATTTTAGTTATTCTTCCCCTGGATCAAATCTCCCTTTAACCCCCTGACTAGGTACGATTACCATGCGGGATATTGTTTAAAGATTAAATCAATCTGCAGATTAACAAAAAGATTAACTCAATCTGCAGATTAACGAAAAGATTACATTTAACTTTATATTCTGTCCAATGTTTCCTTTTTGTATGTGTCTATGCAGGGTAGAATAAAGAATATCCCTGGGCCCTGGACAAACCATATTCATTGTTACAATCGGGGCCCTGAGTAATCCAATTCTTACGATTGGGGCCCTGGACAAATCATATTCTTACAATTGGGCCTTGGACAAACCATATTCATTCTTACAATTGGGGCTCTGAGCAATCCAATTCTTATTATTGGGGCCCTGGACAAATCATATTCTTACAATTGGGCCTTGGACAAACCATATTCATTCTTACAATTGGGGCCCTGAACAATCCAATTCTTATTATTGGGGCCCTGGACAAGTCATATTGTTACAATTGGGCCCTGGACAATCCTTTATTTGATAACTACTACAATTAGGGACCGGGATAAGCCTATTTATTTTTTGTGGGGGGCCGATTAATTAAAACATATTTATTATTGCAATTTGGACCCTGGGCAACCTATATTTATTGATTTTTAAACCATATTGATTCTTACAATTGGGGCCTTGTCTCTATGTACATCAAGGTTGTATAATGTACGGAAAATGTCATCTCCTAAGCAAAGATAGATAAAATCCTCATATGACGTCACTTATTAGACATTGGAGCGCATCGAGAGTACCATATTTATTTCTAATTTTATGAATGTTACATCGGTATAGTTTTCAAATAGGTTAACGTTCCCTGTAATGAACATAATTAATTAAATTTAAATTAAATTAACTTCAATCTGTACATACAATTTCTACCTAATAAATCACTGTAAGCCTTTATATTGTGGCAGTTACAATTACACAAGTTGGAACATTTATTGAGAACAAGATTTTCAACCTTAAATATTAAATTAGAATAATAATAAGAATATCAAATAATAGATAAAAAGATAATAAAACATTTAACAATGAAATATAGATATTTATATACAGGGTGTCCCAAGAAACATGAAGGTCGTCTTTGAGTTTGGAAATAATTTGCATTTTATTCGTAAACCTCATTTTAGAAGTTTAATTCACAAAATAACCCTAGTCCTGACATTTCTAAAATGTGGTATACGGTCTACGGTAATATTGACAGCACAAAATAAAGCAGACCACATTTCGGAAATGCCAGGACTGGGAGAATTTTGAGATGTTTAGTTCAAGAATCATACATGTAACATTTGGTTAACAATGCCGCAAAAATTTTCAAAGAGCTAAGACGACCTTAAGATATTCTTTTTACTGTCAAGTTTCGTGGGACACTTTGTATAGATATCTGAAGGACTAGATATGGTTGTTTTCCTTAGCGCCACCCCTCACTAGTCGTCCTAGTCTAAATATTACTGCTCGTTCATACTCTTGTACAACCTGTACAGTACAAACATTTCATTTCGTGTACTGCAGTCTCGTTTTGCATTGTTACTCAGAGCTGAAAACTTAAGAATGGTTGATATCGAGATCATTGCTTCATCCTCTCTTTTTGCTAATTAAGTCTTTAGGTTGATTTCTATTAATTAGAGAAATTTTTGAAAACCGGTTTTTATTTTTCCCGCATTTGTGGTGTCATATTTATTGGACTAATGATAGATTGAACCAACGTAAGTTTTAGATTAATGTTTATTAAGACTAACATTTAAAAGGACTATCGCCCTCAAATGTGATAAAATATGTTTTTAAATAAGTTTATATTAACATGATTTTATATATATTTGTTTAAATGCTTTAAAAGCCAGCTTGTGAACAGCTGACTTAAGTTCAATCATATATTAGTCCAATCGACATAGCATAGTTTCTGAATTTGTAATCAAAAGTATATGTTTATAACATGTGTAGTATTAGGTAATGTGATATCCAACAAGAGCGAATTAAAAGTTTCCATAGTGGATATTTAGATTAATTGCGATCAGGATTAAGGTTATCTAAGTTTTCAGCTCTGTACGTGTACTGTACAGCTTTCTTTAGCTGCTTAAAAGTCGACCCGGAACTTGAAATGAACTGGAGCTTACAGTGTGCAATGTGCTATGTACATGAGGAGTTGAGAATTTCATTTAGTTTACTATCCCATTTTCCCTTATATAGTACATTTACTGTACAGTTTTTTCAAGCTGCTTGAAATAAACCTGAGTTTATCAGGGGGCGATTACGTCATGTGTTTGTGTCTGTACCAAATTAGTGTGTGTTAGTTTAAAGTACCAAAGGTGTGTACTGTAGGTATATAGAGTACATACGAATCTCGGTATTTGTAAAGTCAGGAAAGAACATTTGTTTATTGTTAATTCTTTACTTAAAAATAAGCTTAATATACATGTAGCACTAAAATAGTTTATTTTTAAGATACTAGAAAAACTATTTGATTTATAACAACAACAAACAGAAATAGTAATGCTCAATGTCGGCTCCATGTTACACAGTTTTATGGGTCTGTATACTGTATTTAGAGTTTATAATTAATACATTCCAACAAGATGAGTTTTTTTAGGCCTAAAAATTATGCTTTTCGGTTTAAAAAAGACACAAAGCAAATTTTACGTAAATTTTTTATGACGTCTTACCAAAAAAAATCTGAAAAAAACTCAAATATTAATAACAGAAAGTAGACAATTTTGTCACAGAAAAAAGTCTTAAAATCAATGTTATTTTGGATACAAACTATGGTTAATTTGTCTTGGAGAGAGAGAAGAAGTATGTTGCCGATGAGCAACGATTTGTAAGAATAAGAATATTTAAGCAATTTAAAAAAAATCTAAATAAGAGACGGTCTGACAAAAATTGAAAACTTTTTGGACTTTTTTTCCGTTTCAATTTCTTCTTTTAAAAAAAGGGTAAAAAAAAACATCGGTAAATCAGAGAATTGAGTCAAAAAAATACTTCGTGAATATTGATAAATTTGGATTTTTCAGTTGAAATAACGTCAATAGTCCCTTTAAAAGGAGGATTACTTGAAATTACATGAACTGTCCCTTTAACCTTGATACACATGTAGAGGGAGAGGGGCATAGTAGCGAGGACTAGGAGAAGGGAAACCAGGGAGAGGAGAAGCGCACACAATCCAGGGGAACCAACTTCTCCTTAAATTTAATTGGAATAAAAGGGACTGTAAGCGTATTTCAAGTGACCCTACATGCTAAGATGGAAATACCCGATTTACAACGAAACCTTAATCTGACTCGAAAAGTGGATATTTATGACTATTTATCCATTGCTTCTAATAACTAAGCAAGAAATGAGCAAGTCGCTTTCGAAGAGAAACCGCAAATGAATATAATCAAACACTGTGGCGGAAGACGATCCAACCTGAAGCCGGATATTAGAACGCGGCAAGCTGCTCTTGGATTTCCTGCCACGTCAGCTAGTAAAATATGATATGATTTTCCAAAGTAAATTTATAGAGTTTTTTAGTCAAGTTAATAAAGTAGTTATTTAAACTAGTCGTGATCAAACCGAGCGTAGCTAAAACACATTGATATATAATTTATATCTGATAAGAAAAAGATTTGAAGGATATCGATAAAATCGGACAGTTTCATCTTTACACGGAGGGTCACTTGAAATTAAGCTTACAGTCCCGTTAAGTTCTAATACTATGCACAATGGGACACATTAAACTGTGGAATAGAAAGACGACTTTAAATTCAAGTAATGATATAAAAATGACTAATAACCATGCATGTACACTGTACAGTGTACACAATACTCAGGCACATTTCACTGTTCTGTTATGTGGATATTTAATTTCACTCTTCTTATTTCAAATAATTATATTGTTACGTGGAATAAGAACAAGATATTTAATTTCACTCTTCTTATTTCAAATAATTATATTGCTATGTGGAATAAGATATGTGGTTATAAAGCAAATTGTTCTAACTGTTGCTTAAAGATCGAATAGAAGTAGTTAAGTGAACTATGTCGTGTTTATGTTCATTAGACTATTTGAAATCGTAACTTGAGTCTAAAAGTTGTCTTTCTATTCCACAGTTTTTTATGTCCCACTGTATCCTGATTTTGTACTGTACTGCAGAGTGCAGAAGATTGTTTATAATCTTACCCCCTTCAGAATATTCCAGTTTGTTCTTGATATCCGCGCACATCTCCTGAATTTGTTTGCGGCATTTTCCATCTTTACTTTTACCAGATTCGTGTATCTTTTCTTCTTCTTCATCTTCTTCTTCTTTTCTTTCTTCAACCTGAAACGAAGACGAGAAGATTACCTGAATTACTGGTCTAAGAATACTAACATTGTGGGGATTTATATCTCCAGAGCTGGAAACTTTAGAATTGGATACCCTTAATCCCGATCGCTTAATCTGAATATCCACTGTGGAAACTTATGATTTTCTTAATCCTGTCATATGGTACACTCTGATTGGTAGAATTTAAGGTACTTTAGTAGATAAAGATTATAATAATCTGGAGATTAACAAAAAGAGAAGATCAAGCATTGACCTCAAAATCCCCGATTCTAAAGTTTTCAGCTCAGGACCAATGAAATAATTCAATGCAAGGAGAATTGAATAGAAGGAGGGGGCGATAGGGTTTCCATACACTTTGCTGTGACGTTTTTGGACTGCTGAAGAACTAGTTTTTGCGTAACAACAATAACAAAGGCAGCCGATCTAATGTAAACAAACATGAGTTAGTATACGGATAATCTTCATCTAACACGCCAGAGATGCCAGATGTCTGTTTATCATTTGTGTTATTGTTTACAATCTTTATTATTGTTGTTACGCAAAAACTATTTCTTCAGCAGTCCAAAAACGTCACAGCAAAGTGTACGGAAACCGTATCGCCCCCTCCTTCTATTTAATTCTCCTTGATTCAATGTATCTACATTGTAAACATTGTTTAACGAGACAAGAAGAGTGTACCAATGATTGGAATCTGGAAATCAGGATAAGCGTATACCAAAATCAACAAGAGTCATTATTAATAATTATAAATAATAAAAACATTGTTAAAGTTAAATTTAAATAAATATTTTTTAATGCATTCAGTATTCTATATTTATATTATTTGGTTTCCTCATTTTCGTACAAAGCTTCTCAACTTTTATCTAAATACTTAATTTCTGTACCTCAACTTTTTTNATAATAATAATAATAATAATAATAATAATAATAATAATAATAATAATAATAATAATAATAATAATAATAATAATAATAATAATAATAATAATAATAATAATAATAATAATAATAATAATAATAATAATAATAATAATAATAATAATAATAATAATAATAATAATAATAATAATAATAATAATAATAATAATAATAATAATAATAATAATAATAATAAAGGGATTATGAGAACATATATTTACCAGATAAAGGGATTGTGATGATGTTGAGGATAAGTATGATCTTCCAACCCTCCCACCACTCATCCTGGTATTAAAGGAATTGTTCATATAATCTAATATTTAGTCAATAATTTAATCAAATAAGAAGATGGATCTGCAATTAAAAAAACGGATCTCTATGAAAATTTTTTTTAATCAAAATTGTAGAACGATACTTAGGAATTGAGTTTTTCTCACAAAAGTCTGATTTTGCATCCCTATATCTTTGCAATCCAAAGTCGTAGACCTTTGATATTTCAAACTATGAACTCTGTTAGATCAAAAAGTCTTAGTTTGAAATATCAAAGGTTTATATCGTCAGGTTGCACAGATTTAGGGATTAGAAATTTTGTGTTAGTGGCAAAAACTCTTTTTGGCCCCGCCCTGAATACAGCTAAAAATGGCGGTTACCTAATCTGAATCTGTTTTTGTTCCTGCCCACATCACCTAAAAAATCACTTTTTTCGTCATGCAAAATAAATTCTAGATAAAGTGCCCGTTGCCCATGGAATTTCAAAATCGTTCAAACCACAGCCTGCTTATAGATGTGATTCTGTCTACCTATCTACACTGTTCTGGCCCATTTTAAGACATGTAATTTTACGGATTGGCTTCACATCTGTTATGGGTTAAAGAGCCTATAGCTTATTTAATAAATTTTTGTAATCTCATGATGTACTGTAGGTTTCATTTTCACAAAGGAATTAATACAAAGACTTAACCGGCCACAAACTCAAATGTTCATATATCTTTGCAGCCTGAAGATGTTAACCTTTAATATTTCTAACTTAGACTATTTGATCTAACAGAATCAGGAATAAGGAAAAATGAGATTCTGTTATTATAACATTGCCTCCCAAGAAATGAGTGGCATAGAAACCCGAACGGCTGTGGCTCATTGTTGCCGGAAGACATGAAAGCTAATATGTGGCATGGAAGGAAAACCGGTTGTGGATTATGGCCGCCTGCCTTCCCAACTCTGCTGCTTCAATATCTCTCTCAAAGATTTGTAATGAAAAGTCTTGGGAGTCTTGGTTACTAGTGATACATTCGCAGCTCATTTGGTCTTACTTAATTGGTTGGATGTATTTATGCTCGCTTCTGATTGGTTGAAATTAGACCTAGTAAGATGCACAATACAATTCAATACAATACTATACAGTACAATAGAATACAATACAATACAATACAATACAATACAATACAACAAAAATTTGGTTACATTTTTATTCAAAATATTTATCTATATTTATTTTTTCAAATAAACGTTATTTTGAGATTTTCTCCAGTTTTGTCATTATTTTGACTTCTTTTTGAACCAGAAACTATAAAATATGATTTATGAGCTCAATCTTTCATTTTAAAAAGCATAATAGATATTTCTTATACAGACAAAATTGTGATATGATGTTTCAAGAAGAGTTTATCAATACTCCAAAAATACAAGGTTATTATCCTAATAACGCCTACAGTTTTTTTATAGATAGTGAATGGTAAGAACAAGAGTATATGATTTTTATCCGTATTTGTAGGAGTGTACACTGTACACTGTAGGAGTGTAAGGCCAAAAAAATCCTAAAACTTGAAATTTTATTATTGACTAAATACATTCTTTGAGTGACATGATTACATTAGCATTATAACATAACAAGTAATATAATTCCAAATTAAAGAAAATGAACATTTTTTATTATAAGGGAATTTAGAGAATCTCTCGGTATGAATTTTTTCAGTCCCTTTCAGCCTGAAAGGGAGTTCCAAGTGTACAAACTACAAATCATGTAAATGTTCACAAATTATATGCAGTAGAGTACATTTATACAGTATGTTCCCTAGACTATCCATTTCAATTTCGAATTTTTTAAAACGAAGCTTCAGCTTAAAGGAGTAGTTGATAAAATCCTAAAATATAGTTACAGTGTGCATATTTTGTTCACAGTGGCCAAACTTGTCCCCCCCCCCTTCAAAAATGTTCAGTTGCGCCTCCCTCTCACCTTTATAAGTTCTCACCAGGAAGCCAGGAACTGTTTTCAGGTTTTCCCACCATCCATCATCCTTTATCTTTCATAGGTCCATTTTAAACTCTGAAATCAGGATAATTTTTTAATCCTTTTAAATGTTGAAATTACAGGGTTTCTCAATTTACTGACGACCTCATTGCAGTACACTCAAACCTTTTTCTAGTCAAGTATGAATTAGATATCAATGTTTCTGTTTAAATAAACTGTTTATTTTTATTTGTGGTTTCTCTGCGAAAATTACTTGCGCATTCTTTGTTTATAAGAAGGAATAGAGAAACAAACAATTTTAGTTTAAGAAAAACGACGGTTGCTTCCACATTTTTGATCAGATTAATGTTTTAAGGGTATAACCGTTGTTAATGAGGGTCACATGAAGATACGCGTACATCAACTTAATTTAGAAATTTCGTTACGCATTATATACTTTGCAGTGTAGTAATATCAAAATATAGGTAATCCTTTGCAACATTTCATGATTAAAGGGACTGTAAGCGTAATTTTGAGTGACTCCACTTGAAAATCAATGCCAGATTTACAACGGTACCCAATTAAAACTTTTATATGATCCAACATGTTTTTTTCAGATTACAGTGTCTAATTCTGACAATACCCTTCATTGTATCAAAAGGATGAATCATGGATATATAATATATGTTCTATATGTTCATATTTCATCAGACAAAGCTTTGAAGGGTACTAATGTAAATCGGACATTGCCATCTTTGAACGGAGGAGTCATGGATATATAATATATGTTCTATATGTTCATATTTCATCAGACAAAGCTTTGAAGGGTACTAAAATTACGATAATATACCGATAATTCCACTGATTTAATTGTACTTCTTATTGTATAGATTTTTAATTAATATAACATGGTGCGTATTTTCTGAAAAGGTTCCCTGCAGCTGAAAACTGATTCCCTGCAGCTGAAAACTGGTTCCCTGCAGCTGAAAACTGGTTCCCTGCAGCTGAAAACTGGTTCCCTGCAGCTGGAAACTGGTTCCCTGCAGCTGAAAACTTGTTTTTTTTTCTTTGCAACATTATTTAATGTATCGTTAACAGATTATATTTCAGCCAGAAACCCAAATTTAAACTTTAAATTGTTGTATTTTAAGATTTCCATGTCTATACCTTTATATATAACCCTCTGCATCTAAAAATAAAAAGTTAATTGAAATTAGCGACTAAATTGAGAGGAATTGAACCACTCTATCTTATGTCCTGGAGATATCTCTTTCCCAGAAAAGGTCTTTAAATACAGACAATAAATCAGAAAACATTGTTTTTTTTCTTGAAACATGTCAAAAAAAAAGTTTTTAAGTTTTTAACTTATTCATCTTTTATTTATGATTTATTATTACTGCAGTAAATATATGATTTGATTTGAATTCTGAAAATGTGTCTAAACGTTTAGGAAATTATGTATATGTGGCTTGTCTTTTTGGCGTTTGATTTTTTGTTTGCATCCAATAATTGCCAAAACGGGTAAACCGGTCGGGCCCTAAGTTTTTGTGACAACTGACATGACCAAATGGGGATTGTCGAAATTGAAAAAATGCCAACTTTCATGATATATAAAAATCCATTAATTAAAACAGAAATATCTGCAAATTTTTCTCTCTGACGATGAAAAACAGACGGCTTGAAAATCAACAATTTAAAGTTTGGCCGGGGGGTGTTATAGGCTAAAAAAATTCGAATTTTTTTTTATTTTGATTTTTTTCAACATTTTTTTCTTTCCACGGGCAACGCCGNAAAAAATCAACATTTTTATTTTTCAAAAAAAAATTTCAAAATTTTTTACAGTTACAAATAAAAATAAAAAAATAAATAACTAGACTCATGGTATACATCGCAATAACCTTCACTATAATTCAGTTGATGATATTTTTTACTTTGACTCTTTTTAGCTTCAACTTTTAAGTATTGTTTGAAAAGGGAACAATCTGCAATATAAATAATAATTGATTGTATGCCTTCTTTATATTTTTTTTGCGAACACTCCCATGATAGGTGATATTTCAAATGACCCTCCATTGACAAATTATTACGGCATCCTTTAAAACTTTAAAACTTTAAAACTGATTAAAAATGAGAAAGATAATTTTCCCAGCTTGGAATGTGCTTAGTCTCCTTTTGTAGCAAATTTCAGTAAAACCATATCTATAAATAATCAATTTTCAAACAGAAAACTAAGGATAATCTAATTAAGTCGAAATCTGTTTTAAAGGGTACCATAGTGAATCGGACATACTACTATGAACAGAGGATACCGTAATATTACGTCTACAGTCCCTTTAATATCCTAACTTTGTTCCGGCTTTTATCCTGTCTGATGAGAATGAAGAAAAATGGTGGAGGGGCGGCCATTTTGTTTTCCACAACTCCACGAGTAGAAAACTTTCTTACTCTTCAGAATATGTCAAGACCGTCCTTTAAACTTACTTCCAGGCTGAAAACTAGAAGACTACAAACAATAGGAAGACGACAAGAGAACAATTTGAAGAGCATTTGATGTTGTTGTAAAGCAGTTGCTTGAAAATAAACTGATTAAGTGAAATGGGTCTATTCTGCCACCGCACAATTGCTGTTGGTTATTTTAATGTCATTTTATGTCATGACATGTCATTTTTTGTCATGACATTTCTTTTTTTGTCATGACATGTCACTTTATGTCATGACATGTCATTTTATGTCATGACATGTCATGTCATGTCATGACATGTCATGTCATGTCATGTCATGCCATGTCTTGTCATGTCATGTCATGTCTTTCTATTCAACTGTTTTATGGTTCCCACCGTAGAAAACTAAAGTGGTCCCCATAGAACTGTGGAAAAGTTTGTTATATTAAATAGTTACAGTAGTATCTTGAAAATCAGTTGCTGGGTCTTATGGTCATTGAATTATTTAAAATCATATTCTTAAAGTCATTATTAGGAATAATCGCATTTTTATTCAGTANTCGGCCCAAAGAAACTCAGCACGGCACTTGATTTTTGTATAGACCAGGGCAACGCCAGTTGCAAAACAAAGTCATACTAAAACCAGAAGAAGTACTAAAAATTATGTCTCAAAGTGTTTTTTTCAAGGACTTTTTTCCACAAGACTTTATAGTGCCAAAATTTAGGACTTTATTTCCCAAAACTTTCTTTCAGAGAACTTTTTAGGCGGTTACCATTTGTTCAATCACCTGTGATCACAAGTGATAAAATTGAATAAATATCTATTTTTTAATAATATTTTGCTAATTTTCTAAAGTCCCTAAACATTATTATGGTACCATAGAAAGAATTATTTCAGAAAACATTTTTATTATTTCAGTGCAAAATTGACAGCTGGGTTCAAATCCAGCATCATTGTCTGGAACTAGATTATCTGCTGCTGAATCCAGTATGATTATCTAAAACGTGTGCCTGAATGACTGCTTTTGCCTGTAGCAATAAAACCCGATATTCATTAAACCTAACTTTTAATGGATTCAAAACTTTTAAACTTAGAAAATCGAAAATTTAAAACTTGTATCTCCCATAGTTCAATATGTAAGGGACTGACATTGTAATTTCAAGAGAAGCATACCCAAGTAACACTTTTTCTGATCAATAATGTAGAAGTTGTCGTAGATTTTTTTAATTTTGAAAGTTTCTGTATGCTAAAATCAGCAGTTAGTTGTATAGAGAAACCAAAATTAAATATAATCAAATTTCAAAAAGAAAAACATGGCCGTCTCATTCATTTATACAAAGATTTTAAGGGCACCGTTATAATCGGATATGCCACTCTATAAATGGAGGATCACCAGAAATAATGTCTTCACTCCCTTTAAGGTTTACTTAAGATAAAATTAAAATGATGAAAGTTATTCATCAGACTTTTCATTCCGTTGAAGTTTTAGGATTTAGTGGAAATCATAACATTCACGGTGAGAAGTTATCCAAATCATTTGATTTTTACAAAAATATTAAAAATATAAAAATTTGTGAGAAATAGAAAAAGTGACACAATTTTGAAATAACTTGGTAATTTCCTAGAGAAGGATTTTCTGAACTATTTCTGGGAGCTGTCTGGTCACAGTGAGCAAAGTTGTGCACACGCTTTCACGCAGAAATCTATACCATTTTTCCAACTACTTAAACTAAAGCAAGAATAAAATTTAATGTATTTGTTACAATATACAATATACATAGCTACAAAAGTAAGTTTAAACCAAAGACAACGATGGTGCGACACTTCAAGGACAGCCCGGTCTAGAAAAATTAATTCAAAATGTTCATTGCTGCTTGGATCTCTGTGTAGTGTATAAAGGTAAGAAAATGGACTTGTTATAAATGCAACAATATAGTGTTTATAGGAAATATGTCCTAGTTTACCTTGATTTAATATCTGCACGATTCTTTATCTATCATACAATGTTTCTTATAAACCATTTAAACCCCTTTACCCCTCCCCCTTTCCTCTCTTTTCTACCTCCCCCTTTCCCCCTCTTTTC